GGCATACATCTGTCCTCCTGCAGAACTGCTATGTCCTAACGGGCATCAACTCCTCCTTAATCATTGGTGCACCTCTCCATGTGGCCAAGCAAAGAGCCTTGCTCATTGTAAGCATCACTATATGTTTATCACACTGAGCAGTATCGCCTTTCGGAATCCCAGGGAAGGATCTAGAGGGAAGGCAGCAGGGCTCAGGAAATAATTAATCATGGCTTGATCAACATTTTTTTCTCTCTCCATCCCCTCCCCCACACCAGCTGCGGCCAGGTCTGCCCGAACCCGGCCTGCTGAGAAGCCCACTGAGAAAGGACATGGCCTCCTCTGTTGCCCTCTGGAGGGATTCAGATGAGAGGGATCCCGTGGGGCTGCAGACCAGGAGAAGTGGATGAAATCGCACCGCCTGCCTTGCTGGAGGAGGTGGGAGAGCCAGCTCTGGAGGTGCCAGGGCTCTGGCAGGCTCTCCATGGGTGGTGCTGGAGAAAGCCCGGAGATGGACAGCAAGAGGGTGGCAGGTACCACCTGCAGGCAGTGCCCCCCGCTGTCCCACATCTCACAGTGTCACCTGCCACACAGCCAGGCTTCCTGCCTTAGGGCTGATTCTCTGACCTCTCTGAACCGCACTCTGGGCTGGGCCTGGTGAAGGTGCCCCTTGCCCAATGCCCTGGATGAATGCTGCAGCATGAACAGGTTACGATGCCCCTAAGCCTACAGACTTCTAAAACCTCTCATCCTGTCATGGGCAAGCAGTGGCAGATGCTTAAAAATAAATAAGTAGGGGCCGGCGCTGTCGCGTAGCAGGTAAAGCCACCACCTGCAGTGCCAGCATCCCACATGGGCGCCGGTCTGAGTCCAAGCTGCTCCATTTCCCATCCAGCTCTCTGCTGTGGCCTGGAAAAGAGGTAGAAGATGGCCTAAGTCCTTTGGCCCCTGCACCCATGTGGGAGACCCAGAAGAAGTTCCTGGCTCCTGGCTTCAGATTGGTACAGCTCCGGCCATTGTGGCCATCTGGGGAGTGAACCAGCAGATGGAAGACCTCTCTCTCTCTGCCTCTGCCTCTCCTTCTCTCTCTCTGTAACTCCGACTTTCAAACAAATAAATAAATCTTTAAAAAAAAGTAAGTAAAAATGTGTCCATGAGTTTCAGCAAACTAGTGTGGCACTAAGTCAAACTCAGATGTTTAAAGCCTATTTGTTTCATCTGTATCAAAAGCTCCAAGCTAAGGAAATCAGCCTTGGGCAGATGGGAATATCAGTGAACAAACAGGGGCTAACAAGACTCTAACTGGTATTGGATTGGATCTCTACAAATTGTAAAGGCCTCAGCTCCTCAGGTTACACCCAGAAAATAAAAATTGCTTCTTTCTGGGGTCCGTCAGGCATTGAACCAGGCCGGTTCGGCTGAATCCCCTCCTCTGGCCATGAGGACCCTCCCATGTCTCCCTATGGAATCAGAAGAAAGAAAGAGTCATCCGGGTCCAGCTCAGGCATCGTTTCCCCACACTCTTCACCACAAACCTGGCTTCTGCCAGGGCACAGTGCCACTGGCTGCAAGTTCCCAGATGAATCTTCTGGGCCAGGTTGCACCTGTTCTCCTGGGCTCCTGCTGGATGCTTCCCTGGGGAGCTTTTCAACTCTCTCTCTCTCTCTCTCTCTCTCTCTCTCTCTCTCTCTCTCACACACACACACACACACACACACACAATGAGAGAAAGAGAGAGAGAGAGTCAGCTCAGGCCCGCAGGCCCCAGTGTTCCCAGAACTAAGGTAGGCTCCAAGGTGGAGAGGCCCATCAACAGTCCCACAGTGCAACCTGCTGGGCACGGACATTGGTGCACCTGGTGGAGGCCAGGGCCGAGGGGCAAGGGGCGCAGGGAAGGGCACCTTACCTCCCCTCTGCCCATTGTCAACATCTGGGAGTCTCAAACCCCGCAGACCCAGATTAGGCTTTAAGGGGCTTTGAACTTGAAACTGATCGTCCAGGCCCCAGAGCTCTCAATGTTCACACAAGTGTTTTAGAATTTTCCAATGGATCAATATAGAGGAGAGACCCTGGGGCTCCAGAGGAGGGACGGACGCTCAGTGCTGAAAAGGAGGAGCTGAGGGGGCAGGCGACTTGGTGCATAATATACGGGCATCCCACATCTGAGCTGCCTGGGTTCACGTTCTGACTCTGCTCCTAACTCCAGCTTCCTGCACTGCAGACCCCGGCAGGCAGCAGCGCCTGGGTTCCTATCGTACACGTGCGAAACCTGGAGCCCCCAGCTCCTGGCTTTGGCCCAGCCCAGCCCTGGCTATTACAGGCATTTGGGAAATACCCACCAGACAGGAGTGCTCGCTCACTCTCGTTCTCTCTCCCCCAACCCCTGCCTCTCAAGTCCATAAATAAAGAAAGTAAAATAACAATGAGGTGCTGAATGCCCAAGGAACTAGGCAGGCCTTTCCACGAGTAACTGGAGCTGACTTGTGGAAGACAGCGCCGCCTTCTTCCATGTCCTTCAACACAGATCACGAGAGCACAGCTTCTGGCCGAAGCACAGGAGGGTGCCGTGCACGCTAGTAAGCAGTCACGGAGCAAAGCTATTGTGCTGCAGGGCCCAGGGGACCAGACAGGTGGAGGCAAGAAAGGTGGAGAGGAAGCGGCTTCATGAAGCACCCACACGACTTGCAGTCAGAGGAGGGAGTGGGAAGGGAGGGAGGGGGCAGCCAGGGGTCGCCGGGCTCCCAGGCTGCGTGAGGACGGTGCGGAGGAAGGAGACGGCTTGGACCGCATCACAGGAGGCAAGATGGCGGCGAAGCGGTGGGCGATGATGGGTTTAGGGTGCAGCTTGCTGAGGGCAAGAAGCCGCGCCCCACTCTCCAGGCTCCTTCCTCTGAGGTTTTTCAGTCCTGCTTGCCCACCTTTATCCCTAATGCCCCCACTCCTGCTCCCTCTCCCGCCCCTCCCCCGCTGCCTTCACTTCTCTTCCCAGCACTCCCTTGAGGTCTGAGAGCTCTGATGCCACTGGGCAGACCCTACTCCCTACACACACACACACACACACACACACATACACATACCACCCACACTACTGCCTTTCCCCTCCTGCCAGCGTCTGGAGCTCAGCCTGCCCCTCCCTCCAGCCAAGCCCCTGTCCTTGCTCTGCGAGGAGCCACAGCCAGCCTCCTGCACCAGGTGCCACGTCAACACAGACTCCAGCTCTCCCGGCCCCAGAGGCCCCTGAAGGTGGGGCTGCTTGGGTTGCCGCCGTTCCCCACTTAGCTGGCAGCGAGTCACCTGAGGTCTGCAGGGAGAAGTCGGGGCTCTCAGGTAGGGAGAAGTTTTATTTTTCCATCCTACTTCTTTAATAAACGAAGTTGGTAGTTGGAGAACACAAGCGACAGAGTGGGTGGCCATATGTGATCCTGAGAAAGCAATCAGAGTCCACCAAGAACAGAGGGAGCCACCCTGACGTGCCCCAGGCTGCCCAGGTTGAGCCATGCACCAAAGCCAGCCAAGGAATGGGAGTCACTGGTGGGGGGCCTTGGTCACACTTGCCCATTACAGCTCCCAACCCAAGCACTTCTGTTAATGGCCTTCAGCTGGACCAAACACCTGCTTGTCCCAGTTCCCAGGGAGGGCCACTGACTCTCCAGGTGGGAAGGGAACCTGCCCAAATGCTGGCCCCCATGCTGTTCTCTTTTTCCCAAGAAGAAGCTAGAATCCTCCCTCTGGACACAATGCTTCTGGCTGCTGCCCCTCGCATAGCCTGAGCCCAGGGCAATCAGCCAGGAAGGCTCTGGACATTTGCAGGGTGACTGAGGAGTTCAGGAAAAGAGCCACAGGGGACTGAGTGGCAGGGAGGCCACGGAGGCAGCCCCAGGGCCTCCTGTGCACACTCCAGAGCCCTTGCCTTTTCCACCTGAAGATGCTCTGCCGACTGGCTCACAGATGCCTCACACACCTCAGTTCAGCCTCCCAACTGAGGACAACCAGGGCCCTGAAGACCAAAGAAGGAACTGACTCATGCAAAGAAAGAGGAGCACACGGTGGCCACGCCCAGATGGGAACCCGGGCTCAGACTTCTCATGGCCTGGTGTGCCATCCATCCCTCCACCCAGGACAGAGATTGGGCTCTGAGAGCATACTGGGCTTCTAGAGCCCTCTGCCCATTTTAGGCGAGGCAGGCCTCCTGCATTCTGGCAAGCTCTTTCAGACGACTTTTGGTGCTAGGCAGCAGTGAGGGGAGGGATTCCAGGACCCAGGCTCTCCTCCCCTTTTATTTGGAAAGGTCATTAAGGGCCTGGGTTCCCTGTCAGGCCATTCAGGACAGCCTGCCTCCTCCTCCTCCCCTTCCCCTTGACCAACACTGTGTCCAGGACAGGGGCTTGGCCTAATGGTTGGGCCACTGCTTGGGACACCTGTGTCCATGTTGACATGCCTGTCTTCAGATCTTAGCTGTGCTCCTCCTGTGCACACACCAGGAGGCAACAGGTAATGGCTCAGGTTGGATCCATGCCACCCACATGGGAGACCTTGGCTCTGTTCCCAGGCTCCCAGCTTTGGGCTCCCGGCTCAGGGCCACCGCAGGCATTTGGAGAGTGAATTAGCAAATAAGGGAGTTCTCTCTCTTTCTCTCAAATAAATAAACATTTTTAAAAACTACCATGGCCACCTGGATATCACTCAAGAATCTGCTTCCTCTAAGTGCTTCCCTAGGACAAGTTTGAGGAGAAGAATCTGAGAGGTGGTCTCCACCCGCCTCAAAGGGCAGGCAGGGAAGGAGAGACCCCAGTGCTGGGGGCCTGGCAGTCTACGTCTGTGTTCTCTTCTGCCCCTCACAGCCCCAGTTCCTGTCCTACCCCTCCGCAGCTTCCCCGCCCATCACACACAGAGCAGGCGACCATAAGACACACTAGCAGGTCTCTGTACTTGGACAAGCGACTACAGGGGCCAAGAAGACTGAATCATTGATGACTTGCATCAAAGGCGTCCCCACTACACAATCCACCCCCGCAACTTACCTGATGAGGTCAATGGGTTGAAACTTATAAAACACTCCATAGCGTGCCCATTCCTGGTACAGCAGCTAAGCAAGAGAAGGAGGAACCAGATTAGCAGTGGAGGTGAGCAAACATTCCTCTTTTCTCTTGTGCATCCTGGCAAGTTAAACTCTTATCCCCAAAGCCCAGAAAATTCTCATGTGACATCCCAAAGGACACATCCAAGGTCAGGAGACTAAAGAAACTGGCCTTTCCTTCCCCGAATTACAGAGGTGACCTTTATCATACTCTGGGGCAGTCCTCCGCCTAGTAAGCCTAACTCCTCCCTCTTTATTCTTTTGTCTTGTCCAGTCCCAAAAAATGAGCCCTGTCATCCATTGGCCACTCACTTACCAAGCATTGATTGAACATTTATACACCAGGCACTGTCCAGACCTTGGATATGACAGTTAACCAACAAAGTCACTGCTGTTATACTAGAGCTTACACCTGCTGTGGGAATACAAGTATAAACCCAGAGACAGAGAATTAATAAATGCCATGAAGAAAAATAAGGAGAGGGGTAGAACTGCTGTGGGTGGGAAAGCTAGGGAAGGCGTCTCTGAGGAGGTGACACTTGAGCTGAGACCTCAAGGAAATGGGGGACATCCCAGGCAGAAGAACCCTCTTTCTGTGCAAAGGCTGTGAGGCAGCTGCATATGGTGTGTCCTACAAGGTACAAGGGCCACAGCAGGGCTGGGGCAGAGGGAGCTTGCAGAGAATAATGGGGGATAACACCAGGAAGTACCAGCAATGGGGGATAACTCCAGGAAGTACCAGCATGGCCCGATCAGTCAGGGGTTTGTAGGCTGTGCTAAAGTCTTGGGAGCCACTAGGAGGTCAGCAGCGACAGTGTGAGATTGTGGAGGACAGGGTAAGGAGGTGACTATAATGGTCCAAGTGAGAGATGCTGGCTTCAGCCATGGGGGCAGGGAGAGATGAGGTAAGAAGCAGTTGACTCTGATTATATATTAGAGGTAGCGCCAGCAAGACTCACTTGTGGATTTGATGTGGGGTGAGAGAAAATGGCAATGCAGCCCTAGCAACAGAGTAACTTGGTGAATGCTGATGCCATTGCCTAAACTGGAGAAGACTGTGAGAACAACAACTTAGGAAGGGCAGAGCCAAGAGTTCACCTCGGGATGCATTAATGTGCAATGCCCTTGAGACATCACACAGGGATGTGCAGCAAGCAGTTGGACATACAAATCTGAAGTTCAGAGGAGAGTCCAGCCTGGAGATCGAAATCTGGGAGTTGTCAGTACACGAAGGATGGGACTTCCAAGGAAGAGAGACCAGGCGGAGAAGAGGCCTAAGGCCTGGGCCCCAGGCACTGCATCATTTAGGAGTAACAGGGAGGATAAGGGACCAGCAAGGAGATGGGAGGAGCAAACAGTGGTGCAGAGAAGGAGAGTCAGAAGTACCGGATGTCCCAGAAGCCAAGCGAGGAGGGAGCTCTAAAGGAAGAAATGGCAAAGGTCATCCCCAGTGTCGTGAGGTCAGAGGAGAATGGGGAAGTGACTTGAAGGTCACCAGCGACACTGACAAGAGGGGTTCCAGGGGTGGAACCCACACAAGAGGACAAGGGAGGAAACCGCGCACCGAGTACATCAGGCAGTGAGAGCTCGCGGCAACTGTGGCAAAACCAGCACAGGCACAACGCCAGAGGAAAACCACGGCACCCGGTACTCTGACTTCCAACGCATGGCCAGCAGGTTTCACCTAGCAGCCACCAGCAAATAGAGCGATGCAGTACCAGTCCATCACCAGATCTCACCTAGAAAGCCATGCTGAATAGATAACAGCACTTAATCCAATTATACATCTGGACTGGACAGACTGGGAATATTATGCTCCTTGCACATGACACAGAATTCACAAGGAAATCATTCAAGGCCAACTTACTGCAGTTCGGTATCTGAGCTACCGCGCTGAACATCAACCCTACACCTGCACCTAAGACTATTTAAAGACATGATATAAAAAATGAAATGATACCTAGCATTCCTACTTAGTGGCAGCAGACTTTTATTGCCATGATATCTCCCAGCAAACCAGACCCAGAAACGCCACACACCCTGATGGCACAGACTGTCCCTGCCATTGCTATTTGCCAAGGAGGAAACCAAGACAGGTGCAGAACGGGCAGAGGAAGATCTGAATTCACGAGCATCAGTGCCGCTCATTCCAGGGTGGTGGCTTCTAACTTGATCTTCTCACTATTAGCACATCTCCTCCTCCCCTCATCTGCAATGCTTCTGCTGCTCTGGGTTTTGAGTCCCTCTCCCAAGTGCAAACTGTGGGCTCTAGCAGCACCTCATTGTCATAGTGACACCATGTGTGGCCCAAAGGGAGGCCAGCCTGCGTCAGGAGATACAGGCAGGGACCCCCTTGAGGGCTGTGGGACGTCACCGCCTGCCTCATAGGCTCTGACCTCTAGAGCAAATTCCTGCCCGAGTCCTGTGTCCTACTAGAACTTGAATCTCAGAGCATCTGTTGGCCACTGAGTGGGAAAACTAAAAATGCTCCAGGAAGCCAGCCTAGCACAGTCAACTCCAGTCCAAACTGAGGGCCAGCCTCGAAGCCTTACTCCTTGCTGGATCCCAGAACCTTCCAGAAAGTCCTTGTCTCAGGGTGGCATCTTCCCAGCACAGAGCTGCATCCACAGCTTGTAAATGTAGATGAGAAATAAGCCACGAAAGCTATTTGAGGAGCAAGCTTTTAGTCTAGCAATGAAGAAGCTCATGTCCCACATCAGAGTACCTGGGTCCAATACTCAGATCCTACTGCGGACTCCAGCTTCCTGCTAATGTGCTCACTGAGAGGCAGCAGTGACAGAAGAGTTCATTCAACCCACATGGGAGACCTGGATTGAGTTCCTGGCTGCTGGCTTTGTCCTTAGATAGGGGCTATTGTGAGCATTTGGAAAGTGAACAAGTAGATGGGGTCTCTCTCTCTCTCTTTCTCTTTCTCTCTCTCTTTCTCAAAAATAACCAAAAAGAGTTTTTGTTGTTTAAAAAAATCCATTTGATACAGAAGGGCTAGATGGATACAAAGGAGGGAACCCCGAAAAGAGAACTGGAGCTAAGAGAACCAAATCTGCAAGGTGATGCAGCAACCATGCCTGCACGCCCACAGGGATCTGCCCAGGCCAGCTCACCTGCCCTTCCGTCACGTGCAGGGGTAGCAGAGACCCAAGGAGCTCCACAGACTTCCTGATCTCCATGGATGCTCGATCACACATTGTTAAAAACAGGTGGATCGGGGCCAGCGCCATGGCTCACTTTGGTTAATCTCCAAATGCCTGCGGTGCTGGCATCCTATATGGGCGCCGGGTTCTAGTCCCGGTTGTTCCTCTTCCAGGCCAGCTCTCTGCTGTGGCCCAAGAAGGCAGTGGAGGATGGTCCAAGTGTTTGGGCACCTGCACCCACATGGGAGACCAGGAGGAAACACCTGGCTCCTGGCTTTGGATCAGCGCAGCGCCGGCCATAGTGGCCATTTGGGGAGTGAACCAACGGAAGGAAGATCTTTCTCTCTGTCTCTCTCTCACTGTCTATATAACTCTACCTGTCAAATAAAAAAAATAAAAAACAGGTGGAAAATGTTCAGCTCCAGGCTCCAGGGCCCCAGGACAGACTGGCAGTCAGGGTGAAGGGAGGCATGCCTGGGAGTCTCTGCCCCAGGAGGACTAGACCAAACAGTAACATGTGACAGTCCCTTTCAACTTGCAGAGTCTAGAACTTTCTGATGCAGCTCTTAGCAAATCCATTTTCTCCCCTAGAGTTACACCACGTCCTCTCTTCACCAATTGGCCAAGGCTACAAATAAACCAGAGGCCGAAGCTTCTCCTTAGTGCACAGTGCCCTACTGCAGAGGCCCTCAGCGTGATTTCAGGCATGACTGACCCCAAGCCTTCAGGGCAGCTGACAACCCACAGGGCCACCCCTCCTGATGGGTCAGAACATACAAGCAGCAGGTGCCGCTCCCTGGGAATCATATCCGGTTGCAGGGCATCAATTTAAACATTTCATGAAACCACAAAGGAATTGCCAGGGTCGGTGCAGTGGTGTAGCGGGTAAAGACCCCGCCTGCAGCGCCCGCATCCCATATGTGCGCCAGTTTGAATTCCAGCTGCTCCACTTCCCAACCAGCTCTCTGCTATGGCCTGGGAAAGCAGTGGAAGATGGCCCAAGTCCTTGGGCCCCTGCACCCACGTGGGAGACCCGGAAGAAGCTCCTGGCTCCTGGCTTCGGATTGGCACAGCTCCGGCCATTGCCGCCATCTGGGGAGTGAACCAGAGAATGGAAGATCTTTCTTTTTCCCTTCCTCTCTCTCTCTCACTCTCTGCCTCTGCCTCTCTGTAGCTCTGCCTTTCAAACAAGTAAATAAATATATTTTTTAAAAGAACAACCTCGTCATGACCCTCTGCATCACCAGAAAACAGCAAGGTGTTGGGGACTGTGGGCCTGAGGCCACAAGCTCCCCCTGGAAGCAGCAAGACCTGGGGAGGCACACAGATGCCAGCTGAAGCCACTTCAGAGGCACTCATGGGGGAAGAGGCTTGGATTCTATGCCCAGATCCAGAGACCTGCTGGAACATTCAACAAGGAACTCCAACTCCTTCCTATGGTAGTGGGAAAGAGGTGCCACATCACCAAATTAACCCTCAAGTGAGACCAAGAGAAGCCCCCTCTGTTGTCAGAAAGGCAAGCTTTCAAAATGCATGAAGGACTCTCTTCCCACCCATTGGAGGCTGGACCGAGGGCTTTGAAAATGCTAAAGAAAATCCCATTCCAGTGCCTTGGGCTCTCCCCTGCAAGTAGGTAGGGGAGCCACAAGGTCCCAGCGGCCCCTAGAAGACAGCAACAGTATCTTTGCTGAGATTTGCCCAGAAACAAGACAGCCAGGGCAGCTGCTGGAAGCCAGGGAAAATCCTGCTCCCTCCTCCTGCTGCCCTGGCTCCAAGGGAGGTAGGAAAGCTCTGCTCCCCTGCAGGAGGAAGCCGCTTCTTAATGACCCCACAGGATAGGGGAGAGGGAGACACTGGTAGCTCCTCCCCCGGCCTGGGTCATCAAGACCTGGCGAGGCAGGAAGCAAGCCGGTGGGCACAGAGACTGCTATTCTCCAGGGCCTCTGGGCTTGCCTGGCGTCTGCCTGAGATGAGCTTACACCTTGGAGATCACAGGAACAGCCCCAAATTGCAAGAAGATTGAGGGAGACCACCCCAGTACTGGAGGGTAGGCCACTTGAGACTTCATCGCAAACCAGCCCTAAAGGGTCCCCCTCTGATTCTGCAATCAGAATCCGTCCCACAGCATCTGGAAAGAGCACGTGACTCTCCCCACCCACCTGACTCCTACTGCGTAATCAACACAGATAGGCTGCACGGACTCAGAGGCGTTTTGCACTTTCCCCTCTAGAAGGCAGCCTAAGCACCACCCACACGTGACTGAGGACCCCCCTGCCATACAGAAGATGCTGTGTCTGCACGGCTGGAGAGCACCGGCTGGGATGTGGACACCACGGCCCCGGGCCTGACTTCATGATCGTTCACAGACACTGGGACCAGCCTGCCCTCCCCACTGGGTGTCAGCTTCCCAGTTGCAATCACTTTCCTAACCGTGACCCGGGCACAGGGCAGTGAGGCCCCCAGGACTGGCCAGCAAACCCATGCAATGGCTGCAAGAATGGGACCTCTTGTCTTTCAACCACACTTTTTGCACTTCATGGCACATCCAGGCCATTGGCTTTGGGAATTACCCACCAAGGAGGCCACTCCATCAGGCAGGTTGCTCCCGGCCTCCCAGCTTCCACCCCTCCCTACGTCATTATATCAACAGAAGCAAAACACTTTATGGAAGGAAAATAACCACAGAATATCCTTCCAAAGGCAAATGCATGGATATGTGGAGTAGTCTACAGTTGACTTCTCTCCATCATTGCCGGAACAGGGGGCTCATTGACAAGGTCCCATGAGTTACTGTGCGTTCCTGGTCTCTGTCTAGGGTCACCACCACCCAGCAGGAGGTTTCTTAGGCAGACGGCAGGCAGCGATCTCCATTTAAAGGGGAGGAACATGAAATTAGAAAGTGGGAGGACAGAAAATGGTTGGGTGAGAGAGGTGAGATGTGGGGAGAAGTGCTTCCTCCTTTTCCTTTAAATCTGATCAGGACTTTTCAGGAAATTAAACACCGAGACTATTAGCATCAGATAGAAAACAGATGAGGTTAAGACATCGAAATACTACAGCAGATTCCCTGGGCAGGCAGAGAGAGGACATGTGTAAGCAATCACAGCAGTATTTCTGGAAAAGACCTTTTATGTTTTTAATACTTAACACTTCATAACAGGGACTAACAGGCAGGATAAAAAGAAGGCTGCTCAAAAGGCAACTTGGGGATGAATGATTTTCCAGACAACAGAGTTGGGGGCAGGGAGACGTCTTGAGCTTCAGCTCCTCGTCCCTCCCACCCTCTCCCACCCTCCTCTGCTCACGAGAGGTGCTGCAGGCTGGGAGACCCTGAGCGGGAGGATGGCATGTGTCCCCACTAGTGGCCAGGAGAGGGACACCTGCAGGATGGTGGACTATATCACTAGACAATGAGAAGCTCTGGGTGAGGGACGGGGACAGTGCTGTGCTGTCAGGAGCTGTGACGGGCAGCAGAGGGATCCTGTTGCCAGTGTGATGCTTGGCCCTCCCCTAACTGTAACCTCAGATTCCCCAGTTTCTCAGAGCAAATGCCACCTTTTCCCTCAAATTTCTCATCTCTAATTTGGGAGTGGCAAAACTCTACTTATCTACCTGGAGGCTAAGCAGAATAGCTTAAAGACGACCAGGGAAAAACCCATGAGATACGGATGGTCAGATAGACGGTTTTAGCACAGACTCCAGATCCGCGAGTCAGAGGTGTTCCAAGCCCCATCTCCTCACTGTGGTAGTGGGATCTTGGGCAGAGTGCTCAACTTCTCTGGTCTCAGTTTTTGCAGCCATAATTACGGAAGTTGGACTAGCTGTGATGCTCAATGGTTGCTCTCTTTCCATCAGAAGATGAGACAGGGGGTTTGGGTGGGACCTTGATATGTTTTAGGATGGTCAACATCTCTGGTCCCCAGGAACTAAACCACAGAAGGGTCCATATAAATATGCATACAGTCATTGGGATGACCAGACATGGTCTTCCCATTTCCAAACACCACCACTGCGGGTGGCTATAGGAAAATTGCTCTAAAAAATAGATCAGTAGATAAATAAAAACATCCAGGGCATTTCTGTCCAGTACTGCACCCATCAATGGCTTTGTGTGTGCAAAGCACTCATTGCACCACAAGGCAGGCTTACCTTTCTGTCATTCATGTCATCCCCCGGACTATCATATTCACCCTGGAGGGAAAAAAAAGGGACACTGGATTAAGTCAACGGGATGATCAAAACCAGACACCAAGAGAGAACAGATTCTCTTTTTTATTTTCTAGTGTCATCTCTTTTTCATTTCCATTTAAGGAAAGTCAAAGGCATGGCATGGTAAGGGGCCAATGTTCCATTTCTTACTCATCCACACTTATGATGCTCACTGGGACAATGCCTCACATGAAGAGACTCCCCCTTGCATGCCTGCAAATGCAATTGCAGCTCCCAACAAAGTAAAGCCCGGGACCGGATGGCTTCACTGCTGAATTCTACCAGACATTTAAAGAAGAACTAACTCCAATTCTTCTCAAGTCATTCAAAATAATTGAAAGGGAGAGAATGCTCCCAAATTCTTTCTATGAATCCAGCATCACCTTAATTCCTAAACCCAGAAAAGATGCAACAGAGAAAAAGAACATAGTGAACATAGACGCAAAACTCCTCAACAAAATTCTAGTCAATCAAATCCTAAAACACATCAGAAAGATCATTCACCAAGACCAAGTGGGATTTATCCCTGTTATGCAGGGATGGTTCAACATTCACAAATCAATCAGTGTGATACATCACATTAACAAACTAAAGAGGCCGGCGCTGCAGCTCACTAGGCTAATCCTCCACCTGCCGTGCCGGCACCCTGGGTTCTAGTCCCAGTTGGGGCACTGGATTCTGTCCCGGTTGCCCCTCTTCCAGTTCAGCTCTCTGCTATGGCCCAGGAGTGCAGTGGAGGATGGCCCAAATGCTTGGCCCCTGCACCTGCATGGGAGACCAGGAGGAAGCACCTGGCTCCTGGCTTCGGATCAGCACGGTGTGCCAGCCGCAGCGCGCCGGCTGTAGCGGCCATTGGGGAGTGAACCAACGGAAAAAGGAAGACTTTCTCTCTGTCTCTCTCTCTCACTGTCCACTCAGCCTGTCAAAAAAAAAAAAAAAAGAAAGAAAGAAAGAACAAAAAAAACATACAATTATCTCAATAGATGCAGAGAAAACATTTGATAAAATACAACTCCCTTTCATGATGGAAACTCTAAGCAACTGGGTATAGAATGAACATTCCTCAACACAATCAAGGCAATTTATGACAAACCCATGGCCAGCATCCTATTGAATGGGGAAAAGTTTGGTAGCATTCCACTGAGATCCAGAACCAGACAAGGATGCCCACTCTCACTGTTGCTAAAATTTAGCCAGAGCCATTAGGCAGAAAAAGTAATCAAAGGGATACAAATTGGGAAAGAAGAAGTCAAACTCTCCCTATTTGCAGATGACATGATTCTATATAGGGGATCCAAAAGACCCCACCAAGAGACTATTGGGACTCATAGAAGAATATAGTAAAGTAGCAGGATATAAAATCAATCCACAAAAATAAACAGCTTTTATTTTTTTAAAGATTTATTTTATTTATTTGAAAGAGTTACAGAGAGAGGTAGAGACAGAGAGAGGTCTTCCATCCACTGGTTCACTCCCCAGATGGCCGCAACGGCCGAAGCGATGCCGATCCAAAGCCAGGAACCAGAAGCTACCTCCAGGTCTCCCACATGGATGCAGGGGCCCAAGGACCTGGACCATCCTTCACTGCTTTCCCAAGCCACAGCAGAGAGCTGGATTGGAAGAAGAGCAGCAGGACTAAAACTGGCGTGCATATGGGATGCCAGTGCTTCAGGCCAGGGAAATAACCTGCTGCGCCACAGCACCAGCCCTCAACAACCTTTGAATACACTGGCAATGCCACGGCTGAGAAAGAACTTCTAAGATCAATCCCCTTCACAATAGCTACAAAAAAAATCAAATACCTTGGAATAAAATTAATCAAGGATATCAAATATCTCTACTATGAGAATTACAAAACATTAAAGGAAGAAATAGAAGATACCAAAAAAATGGAAAAATCTTCCATGTTCATGGATTAAAAGAATCAATATCATCAAAATGTCCATTATTCTAAAAGCAATTTACAGATTCAATGTGATGCCAAAATACTAAAGACATTCTTCTCAGATATAAAAATATCAAAGACATTCTTCTCAGATCTAGAAAAAATGATGCTGAAATTCATATAGAAACACAAGAGACCTCGAATAACTAAAGCAATTTTATACAACAAAAACAAAGGGGAGGCATCACAATGCCAGATCAAAACAGCCTAGTTGGTACAAAAACAGATGGATAGACCAATAGAACACAATAGAAATGCCAGAAATCAATCCATGCATCTACAACCAACTTAATTTGACCAAGGAGCTAAAACCAATCCCTGGAGCATGGACAGTCTCTTCAACAAATGGTGCAGGGAAAACTGGATTTCCATATGCAGAAGTATGAAGCAGGACCCCGACCTTACACCTTACACAAAAATCCATTAAAATGGATTAAAGACCTAAATCTAGAACCGGATGCCATCAAATTATTAGAGAACATTGGGGAAACCCTGCAAGATATTGGCACAAGCAAAGAGTTCTTGGAAAAGACCCCAGAGGCACAGGCAATTGAAGCCCAAATTAACAAATGAAATTACATCAAATTAAGAAGCTTCTGTACTGCAAAAGAAACACTCAGGAAAGTGAAGAGGCAACCAACAGAATAGGAGAAATTTTTTGCAAACTATGCAACTGATAAAGGATTAATAACCAGAATATATAAAGAGATCAAGAAACTCCACAACAACAAAACAAACAACCCAGTTAAGAAATGGGCAAAGGATTTAAACAGACATTTTTCAAAAGAGGAAATCCAAATGGCCAACAGACATATGAAAAAATGCTCAGGATCACTAGCCATCAGGGAAAATGCAAATCAAAACCACAATGAGGTTTCACCTCACCCCAGTTAGAACGGCTTTCATACACAGATCAACAAACAACAAATGCTGTTGAGGATATAGGGGAAAAGGTACCCTAATCCACTGTTGGTGGAAATGTAAACTGGTAAAACCACTATGGAAGGCAGTTTGGAAAGACCTCAGAAATTTGAATATAGACCTACCATACGACCCAGCCATTCCACTCCTGGGAATTTACCCAAGGGAAAAGAAATCAGTAAATAAAAGAGTTCTCTGCGTCCCCATATTTATTGCAGCTCAGTTTACAATAGCTAAGACATGGAATCAACATAAATGCCCATCAACTGAAGACTGGATAAGAAATTATGGGGGGGGGGGCTGGCACTGTGGCACAGTGGTAAAGCCACCACCTGCAGTTCCAGCATCCCATATGGACACCGGTTTGAGTCCTGGATGTTTAACTTCTGATCCAGCTCTCTGCTATGGCCTGAGAAAGCAGTGGAAGATGGCCCAACTCCTTGGTCCCTTGCACCCACATTGGAGACCAGGAAGAAGCTCTTGGCTCCTGGCTTTGGATAGGCACAGCTTCAGCCATTGCAGCCATCTGGGGAGTGAACCAGCAGATAGAGGACCTCTCTCTCTCTCTCTCTCTCTCTCTCTCTCTCTCTCTTTGCCTCTGCCTCTCTTTAACTCTGGCTTTCAAATAAATAAATAAATCTTTTAAAAAAATAAATCATGGGATATGTACTCTATGAAATACTATACAGAGGTAAAAGAAAAAAATGAAATCCCATCATTTGCAACAAAATGGATGAACCTGGAAAACATCATACTTAGTGAAATAAGTATGTATGAAATAAGTATTTGTCTTATGACTTATACATACATACTTATACATTCATACATACTTATGAAATACATACTTATGAAATACATACATACTTATGAAATAAGTATGTATGAAATAAGTATTTGTCCCAAAGGGACAAATGCCATATGTTCTCCCTAATCTATGAGAACTAATAGAGTACCTAAAAGAAAATCTGTAGAAGTGAAATTGACACTTTGAGAAGCAATGATTTGAACAGCCCTTGTCTTGACTATCATGGAACAGTTTTTTTGTCTCTTCTTCATACTATTTGTTGAACTCTTTACATAACATAGAGTTAATCATATGTGTATAAAGTCAAATGAAAACAGATCTCAGTAAAAAATAAGAGTGGGAATAAGAGAGGGAGGCAGAAGTTTGTAACTGTGAAACTGTATAGTTCTTCATACACTCCTATGGACCTACTTCTAAGGGTACAGTTCTAAAACTTGCGAGGGGACCCCAAATCACATTAGGCTGGGTGGTAAAAATGGCATATTAAGTGTTAAAGTGACTATAATAAGTGTTAAAGTGATCATATAGATAGGATTAAGTGTTAAAGGGATCATATAAATAATATCAAGTGTCTGGTAATAATAATAGATAGAATTAAAAAGGAGAGAATGTTCCAACATGGGAAGCAGTCCACACAGCAGACTTACAGAATGACAATAGCTCTAAACAGCACTCTGACCTTGGAATCAGCCCTTAAGGCATCTGGTCTGGCTAAAAAGCCCATGAGAGCACTTCAAGCATGGAAAGGCAAGATACTGTGGCAAAAAATGTCCTACATAAAAGATCTCTGTGAGAGAGACCCCAGTGGAAAGAAGTGGCCATCAAAGAAGGATGTACTTTTCTCTGAATGGAGAGAACTTCCACTTTGCTTATCACCTTGTCTAAATACTGACAGAGAATGTGGATTCAAAAGGCTTCCAATAGCCTTTGCAGCTCATGTCAAGAGCCTTGGGTGATCACTGACATCATACATAAGAGTGTTAATTGTTTTTTCTCTTTTTTTATTTTTTTATTTTTTATTATTTTTTTTTTGACAGGCAGAGTGGACAGTGAGAGAGAGAGAGAGACAGAGAGAAAGGTCTTCCTTTGCTGTTGGTTCCCCCTCCAATGGCTGCTGCAGCCGGCACATCGCACTGATCCAAAGTCAGAAGCCAGGTGCTTCTCCTGGTCTCCCATGCCGGTGCAGGGCCCAAGCACTTGGGCCATCCTCCACTGCACTCCTGGGCCATAGCAGAGAGCTGAACTGGAAGAGGGGCAACCGGGACAGAATCCGGCGCCCCAACTGGGACTAGAATCCGGTGTGCCAGCACCGCAGGCGGAGGATTAGCCTATTGAGCTGCAGCGCCAGCCAAGAGTGTTAATTGTTAAATTAACAACAGTCATCACTGTGCACTAACTCCCCATGCAGGACCTCTGTCCTCAATGAATTGTGAGAGTTAATTGTAAAACTAGTTCTCAAACTCTGTGTGTGTGTGTGTGTGTGTGTAAATTGTTGAAATCTTTATTTAGTATAGAGTTGTTCTTCTGTGTACAAAATTAATTGAAAATGAATCTTAATGGAGAATGGGATTGGCAAGGGGAGAGGGAACAGGAAGAGTGGTGGGAGTGTGGGTGGGAGGGCGAGTATGGGGGGAAGAATCACTGTATTCCTAAAGTTGTACTTGTGAAATTTGTACTCATTAAATAAAAGGCTTCTTGGGGGGGAGGTAGTGCAATTGCAGAGCCTGAGCCAGTGAATGGGTCAGCACATCACATGACTATCACCTATGACACGAGACACACGCACCCTTGTCCAAAACCAGCAGAACCCAGACACCACTCGCATAGATGCCAGGAAGGGGAGGATTGCCATCTGAGACATCTGGGTGGGGCAGCTGGCCTCATGGGGCACCACTGCATGACAGAAGCTAAATATGTGACCCATAAGAGCAATGGTGAGGCCAGGGCATCATTTAGTTCAAGGGACAGAATTTTCTAGAAAAACATCACTGCATTCTCCATTGGATGCTCACAGCACTACTCTTGGCCAGGAAAAGCTCTCATGGTGGTTATTTTTTTCTTTGTTTACCCAAACAACTACATATGGAATTTTGAGATAGTTGCTTCAAAAGTTAAAATTAAAAAAAAAAAAACTTACATTAATATAAGGGCATTTCCAAAATTTCATGGAAAATGAAATTAAAAGGTAAATTTCTTTTTTGCAAAACATAATGTTGAAATCCCTGCCTTTTTGCATAATACACATTTTCCATGACATTTTTCAAGAGCCCCCCTTCATACATACCCTCATGTTAAAGATGAAGAATGTCACACCTGCACAGATCTCTCACATGTAAGGCATTATTTTCTGCCAGAGCCCAGGCTAGGTATTACCCTGGCCTTTGGGTTTCCTTCCACCACCATCCACACCTTCCCCAGCATCTACTCCCTTTAATCTACTATATGCCATAGCCAAATTTTCACACTTGCAGCAAAACCAAAGGCAGGGTGTGTGGGTAGCACTGAAATAAAAAAAAAAATAAACAGATCATTTTTGCCATCTGGGAAACTCATTGGAGAGACAGACTGAGGTGATCGGCGAAGAGCAAACTGGAAATCATTGTCAGCAATGAGCAGGGCAGAAGCAGCCAAGACACTGCAGTACCAGGATCACCAGGGTCACCCAGCAGTGCCAGCATCACCCTGCCTTGTCTTGGGTGTCTTCACTCACTGCATTGCCTGGAGCTTTCAACTTCTTGAAGACTACAAACACTGTGCTAAGAGATGATACTTACGTCATGAAGAGGGTAGGCAGCCTCATAGATATTGTTCGCGATCAGAGAGTTAATACCTACAGGAAGAAAGGAAGATGGAAAAAGTAACCAGAGAGCAAGCGTTTCTCAGCCCTCTTGTGGAGTTTTGTTGCTGTTGTTTAAGATTTTTCATTCTATTTGAAAGGCAGAGAGACGGAGAAACAAGAGATCTACCATCTGCTGGTTCTCTCCCCAAATGTCTGCAACAACCAGAGCTGGGCCAGGCTGCAACCAGGGCCCAGGAACTCCAGCCTGGTCTCCCACACAGCTGGCAGTGGCCCAAGTTCTTGAGCTATCACCTGCCTCCCAGGTGCACATTAGCAGGAAGCTGGACTCTGGGAGCAGAGCTGGCACCCCAGCCTAGGCACTGTGACATGGGACATGGGTAACCCAGCTACAGCTTAACAGCGGCACCCTACTCCCTCCTCTCCCTTCTTTTTTTGATAAATATTAAATCTTCACCTACCTCCCAGCCGAGAATCACTCCACTCTCATTTACTCTTATGTCCTTCCCAGTCTAGAAATCTTTAAGTTTTAATTCTTAGTCTAAGAATAGTACTTTTCCATGCAAAAGTATGTTTTAATATCAAATATGCTCTCTCAAACTTCATATTCCTCCTGTCCCCAAAAAGTCAGCCCACCACTGCCCATCAAGCCTCGAGCACGCCCAGGCCATCACCACGAGCATAGTCAGCATTTGAGAGTCTCTGTGTTCAGGGACGGCTCAGGAGGGGGTGTGTGGGTAACTCTAATGGTGACCACAATATCCCAGCACACTTGGTGGGATCCCCTTTCTCACATTCCCTATTCCTACACCAGGTGGTATGACTTCCTGTCTGTAACCTGCCCCGGGTAGTAGGCTCAGCAGGACCTGAGTTCTCAAACTGTGGCCTGCAGAGCCCTGGGAGTCCCCACGACCCTCTCTGTGGGTTCCTTGAGGTCCAAACTGTTTTTATATGAGAAGCAAGACATGACTTGCTCTCCTGCCCTTATTCTCTCATAAGTGGACAGTGGGGTTTTGTACCATTGTGATGACATCATGCCCCGACGGCTCGTGGAGTGTGTGTCTATGCATTCTTGTGCTTTAAACACTCCGTTTTAACCTAGAACACAATAAATACTGACGGAGGAAACCCACTGACACAAAAGGTCTTTGGGAGCTCCTGATAAAAGTGTGAAGGTGCCCTGAGACCAACAAGTGTGAAAACTGTAAAACAAGGGGTTGAGGTTGTAGTCCCAACAGCACCTGACACCCCTCGCACACAGCACATCCTCCTAAATGAGTGTGAAATGCACAAAAGGCCCTGTGCCTCTGGCTCCAGTGAACTCACAACACAGAACCTCCTGCTCAGCACAAAGCTACTGGATGTGCCTGTTTCAGCCTTGGTTTGATTCAGAGACTACGCAGCGGCCTCTGCGTTCTGTCCGAGGAGGGACTGTCTGGCCCAGGTCCATGCCGTCCAGATGGCAGGCATGTTACCTCACCAACTCAGGGAACCAAACACCTTGCTCCACCCGGACACACAGGTGATCAGCGAGAAGGTGGGGGACGGGGAAGTTTCTGGTACACAGTGATTTCCCTTGTCCCACACACACATTCCGCCCTGAACCATTCTTTCCAGAAAAGCTAGAGACAGCAGTGCGATGAGGAGATCACTGGATTTCAGAGGGGAAGACATATGACGTCCAAATGCATTGTGCAGCTCTGGGTAAACAACAAGATTGGGTGACAAATCTAGACAACTTTTACTCATTAAAATCCGTGGCTTTCCACCCCCCCTTCCCTCCCAAGTGCTCAGGGGTTCTGGAAGATGCCCCTATCAGCCTCCTCTTCTTCAAACCTTGTCCTGATTGGCCATAGCTACAGTCCTGATTGGCGACTGTGGCAGGATACAGGATGCTCCACAGAGACCACACCCTGGACCCCACGTGGGAGCAGGCTGCAGGGGCCACTCGGTGGACCGGTAGACGTGGTCACCCTTCCAGTGAGCTGAATGCTGACGGCTTTGGTGCGGCTGCATCACCCAAGAGCCAGCGGCCTTTGCCAACTTTAAGTTCCCTCCTTGGCATGAACATAAAACATGAGAAGTGGCTTTGGGGGGGTGGGGGGTGAGAGGATTGGAAGGCGAGGAAAGGGAGTGCGGAAGGGGGAGGGGCCCTGGAGAGGCTTGGCGGGCTGCAGATTTGTTTTACTCACAAGACTACAATTTCACTCTGAGCACCATTAATCAGTTCAAGAGCCACATCCACAGCAACATGAAGCCACCCTCCAAGAATCAAAGGGAGGGGTCTCAAGTCAGGAGGGGGCTGGGCTGGGCGGGGGCAGTTCAAAGCTACAGAAAGTGCTGTCAACATGGATAGAGGGTGAAGCATCCCAGGCAGGTGGGACCCCAGCTAGATAGCACCCCAGGAATCACTCACACCCCACGACTACCGCAGCAGCTGCGTAGCCCCAAGACGGTCCCAGGACGGTGTGGAGAAAGTTAAACAGGTGTTCCACCTACTTAGCTCTCCTGCTCATTCTCAGCTTTGCTCAGCACAGTAGCCAAGCATCTGGAAGCAGTAGACTGACGACCTGAACTCCTGGGTCCGGCTGCCAGATTCTTCCAGAGACCTCAAACCCCAGGGCTTCCAATGCTCTGCTCCTATCCCTACCTCAAATAGAGCTTTCTCTGTGCATCGCACAGCCCAGCCCGCCACGGTGCTCACTTCACTTCTAAGACATTGTTTGGCATCTCCCAAAGGTCTTCCAGGCTCCTGGGTCGGAGGACTCCCCGCTCTGGCCCGAATCTCTCAGGACGCTCGGTTCCCCGGGTGGGCACACAGGAAGGAGTGCCCAGCGCTGTGAGCACAGTTAACTCAGCACCTCTCCCTGTGTAGCAGGGGCACCCACAGAGTTCCTCCCTCCTTTGTCTGGCATCTTCTGCTGGTGAAGAAACTTGAAACTCTGGCTGATTACTCTGCTGCCTAAGGCAGGAAGCCCCGCAAAATGGTCCCTTGCCTTGGAGCAAAGATTCAGGTTGGAAACCTGAGTTGTCCTGACAGGAAACCAGAGCCCGTGAGTGATGCAATGGAATGTTTCTCTGTCACCCGTGGCTGCGTACCTCCTACCTGGTCCCTGGAAGGTATCATGTGAGCAGTCCCACTCAGTGGCTGCTGGGGGAAGAGCAAGCAGAGTTCCTGAGGGCTGGCAAGGGGAAGGGGGAGGGGAACTGCAAAGGGACAGCTCATCACAACCTCACCCAAGAACAGGCATCGCCTTGGCCTGGAGCTTCACCCACAGAGTTCAGAAACCAAGATCCTACCCCCAAACAAGCATGGAAATCAGTTTGAAAGGAAAAGAAAATAATCAAACGTGGTTTTTTTTTTTTAAAAAAAGAGTCTCTGCTTTGAAAATTGAAATTCTGATTTTTTTTCCTTTCTTTTCAGCAAAAATGGGCTAATTGGTTCCATCGTGTGCCATCCATCTGGCCATAATGGGAACGCTTTCTTCTTCAGGATCACATACATATTCTCTCCTCTCTGCTCTAGACCTGGGGAGAAAGTGGGATACCCAACCTTTTGTCCCTGGCCTCCCAGGATGGGGCCCAAGGAGAAGGTGCTGAGAACATTTTCCCTCCCGTCTCCCCAGAGAGAAGCTGGGATGCGGTTCAAACACAGCACAGCCCCCCGAGGCCTTTCAGCATCCCCCAAATTTCCATGTGCATCCCTGCTGCCCCTGCCCAAGTAATTCAGACCTGTTGCTTAGCCCCCAAGTCCCAAAGGAAGGGCTGTGCCTCCTGCTTGCCCAGCCCGGACACAGCTGGTGCAGCCTGAGCCCAGTAACACCCAGAGAGAGTTCACAGCCAAGAAGCAGGACCAGGGCAGGCTCGGTCTGAGGCAATGATACCTGAAAATATGCACTCGCCTCACAAAACCCGAGGCCTGGCATTTCGTTTCAGAGACCTCTCCCGTTTCCTGGACACAACGGAACAAGCAAAGCCTAGGAGTTTACGGCCTGCCTCCCGGTCTCCTTCCTCTGCAAGGGCTGCTGGGTGACAGGGATGACAGCTCCACGCCCTCCAGGCCAGACCTAAAGGCAATCTCCGTCCACTGGGACGGGCACTTGGAGCAATGGTGCCGGAGTCCCGGGCTCCCATTTGGTTTTGATTCCCCCGAAGAACAGGGCCCAGCGTGCTTGGCGTTCCGCTTTCATCCCTGCGCTCCAGCCGGACTCAAATCTAAACCAGAGCCCCCAGACGGTGCGTTTAAGAGAGACTATATTTACCCATCACCAAATTGTCTTGACGTGTGCTTAATTACTTAAATGCCTTTAATCCCAAGGCTTTTCTTCTAACAAAATATAAACCAGCTCAGCTGGATGAATGATAAACCAGATGTTTACAACATACAACATGGCCTGGCTTCGGTCAATATAATTAAGACATCGTCTCTGGCGTGGGAGGGGCCATGCCCAATGCAAATACCCTGACACGAAAATGTCCATGAAAAGGCAGCTCCATTAATCTGTAATTTTCTGTCCATGGAAAGGCAATAATACCTTCCAGATGAAGGGGCAAGAAAGGTGTGTGTCCCCCTCTCCCATGGTCAAGGGGGCTGAAGTTCCTTGCATGTGATGTGCACTTGACAGCCGTTTCATGATGGAGCAAAGTCCCAGCCTGACCTCAGGCAACCTGACCTCAGGCAACATGACATTGATTAAGGAGGCAGCACAGGGCTGGACCACGATTGTGATCACTCACACGCCTCTATCTTCATGCAGAAGCCAAACTCACAGGCAGTTTTAGGCTCTGAACATTGTGTGCGCCCCAGTGCAGAGCCCTTCACTTCCAGGGGCAAATACGAGGGAGCGGTTGAGTGGTCCCTCCTGGAGGTCATGGAGACCTGCAGAGTCAGAAGTGAGAGCATCACCCAACACCAGTACACCTGGACATTTTCCAGGCCAACTCTCTTTGCTTTGTATTTAGATAGTAATTCTAACCCCTGCCAAAACAGATGAGGAGAGGAGGGGAGGGGAAGGGAGGGGAGGGGAGGGGAG